TCAAACTGGTTTGCTTTCGAAGATGATAGAAATGTTGATTCCATGAACACTTCACCCTCAGCGATGATGGAGGAGATCAACCTGAATGGAACTTCAAATGGTGGCAATAGTATTAGTGATGATGAGGTTGTAGTTGGAGAGGAGGATGAACTGACAGAGAGCAAACACTCTGGTGATGGCATGCCCAGGTCGAGCACAAACATGTTTAATGGATTTAGCGGAAATGACACTGTTAATGTGCGAAATGACAAGGCAGGTGCATCTACTAACATGGATTTTTTCCGTTTCGAGACATCAGACAATGACAATCCATTTGGGAACAACAGGCCAATACCTGAATGGGCAGCATGGGGAGATGTCTCATATCTACAAGGTGGTAGATCCAGTGTGAATCCTTTTCTTGATGATTACAGTGATGACTGCAATCATGGCAATCCAGCAGCAACCACTGCTGTGTCTCCTCCCCTTAGTTCTACTTCCAATGGAGAAACTATTGTTCCAAATGGTGCCAATTCTACTCATAGAGGCACCACAGTTCCTTCTTTGTTCGAAGAGGATGTTGAGTTTGTTGGCGTGGAACTAGAGGGTACAGAGAAGGCAATGGAACATGCCCTTAAGGAGGGGATTGTAGGGGAAGCGGCACCATTGAAAAAGAGCCTCATACACAAGTTGCCAGAAAATGAGAATACAGAAGATAGTGGAGCAGGTATAAAAGAGTTCAATGATGCAAATTATTGGAGAGTTGATCATGAGGTGGCAGTGTTGGAATAAGAGGAGGAATTTGATTTGAGTGAGTCTGGAGATCTGGGCTGCTAATGGGGATCCGGTTTCAGTAGGGCAGGTGAGAGTTATATTATGCAGAAGACATGTACAGTTGAATCTTTGTTCCAATTTGGATCTGATCGAAAGATGATAGGCTAATGTTTGTTGTAGACTTTGATGTCTATACTCTTAGGTCTGTATTGTCGTCACCAAATTCTTGATCCCTTCTCTTATAAATTCTATGCATTGTCTTATATTTGTTTTGTTGTTTTTATTTGGTGGCTGCCCTCACTCCTCTCAGTTTACTTTAAGTATATGACTCTTATGACCATAGATTAATACAAATTGGAAGGAAGATAAGGCTGCATCTGTATTTATTTTAATTGTCTATTTTTTTTTCATTTCTAGTTTTGATTGGAGAAATGTATTCTATTTTTAATAATTTTGTTTTTTCATTTTTTAGTTTTCAAATGAGAGAAATGATAGGTTATGGTTTTTTTTTTTTTTTTTTTTTTTTTTTTTTTTTTTTTTTTAATAATATCTAGCATACCAATGACCAATATGCCTTTTTAGTACAATGGTTGGACATATAATTACGAATTTTAGAAGGTGATTTGTATTCTTGAAACGGGTTGCGTCCAGGGCCGGTCCAAACATTTTATAGACCCGGGGTGAAATTTAAAAAATGGTCCCTATATGAAAAGCTATTAAATATTTATTAGGCAACATTTTATGACAACAATATAAATAAAATTGATCTTAACCAAAAAAAAAAAAAAAAAAACAAACAAACAAAAACAAAAGCACATATGAATAGTGTAATAGTCAATCTTTATTTCTACCAACGGGTAAAATGAATAAACACATTTTCATCAAGAAAAACATATATATTAAAAAAACCACTAGTAACACAAGCACTTGTAAAAAACAATTTGACTACACATTTTAACTCTGCAAATGAAAATTGTTATAGTATTTCATTTTTTTCCTTTATTTTTCAATTGAGATTTTATTCAACAGCCTAAGAGAAGAAAAGAGTGCAACAAGAATTTCTGCAATTCATCATGAGACAAGGTAAAAATCAAAAAGCAGTAATCTGCATTCCTAATTCCAAAAACAACAATGAACAACTCCTAATCAGCCCAATCTGCCTAATTTGCATTTACAATTCGACCAATTTCTAACAATTTCTAATTCTAATACCAAAAACAACAATAACAATTCCTAATTCTAGAAGAAACAATACATAAATACGGCATTATGAAAACTAATTAATTCCTAATTCCCAAATTATTTATTTCAAAAAAAAAAAGGTACCAAATCATAAAATACCTTTGCAAAAAAATTACTGAGATTTATTAGGGGATTTGGTAAAGCACTGAAGCCACAAAGGGATTACGAAGACTATTAGGCAAAGACGTGGCGGTGGCAGGCCGGTGTCCGGCGAACTAGAAAGTGGCGAAGCCGATTTGAAGAGAAGATTTGTTATCTGTCGATTGTTGATTGCCATTACTATTTGGCTTCTAAGCTTTTAATTACTTCATTTTTACTGTTGAAAAGAATTGAATGTGCGCGACCGGCGAGGCAAAGGGCGGCGTGGGTGTGCAATGGCTCGATCTTCCGTTTCTCGTCTTCTCGGCTTCCGTCTGAGTCTTCCGTCTCTTTTTCGTCTAAGTTAAGTAATACGTAGTGTATATTATATATACTATATTAATATATCTTATGACCTATGGGGCCCCATTCTAGAGATGGGCCCTGGGCAGGTGCCTAGGCTGCCCATGCCCTTGGGCCGGCCCTGGTTGCGTAATGATGAAAATGTGAAAACGTAATATTTATGTTAGAAAATGTAATACTAATAATGAATAAATTGTTTATTATATGAAAAATGTACTCTGGGTTGAATAGTTATTTTATGATTTTTTTTTTATATATTAATCATGGATAAATTGTTTAATGTTACTCATGAGATAAAAAATATGATAATAAAAAAATGCATTTCAATCATCTCAATTAATGCATTCATTCTTGCTAATCTTGTTTCTATCAATGCATTCACACTTTGGAGGGAAAATTTTGTGGCTAGATTCTGCTTTATTATATATATATATATATATATATATATATATATATATATATATATATATATATATATATATATAGAATAATGCTCAAATGTGGCAGTGTAGTTAGGTGTGGCAGTGTGGTTATATTTGAACCGTTGGATCAAGGCAATCTAACGGCAGAGGCGTATTTTCAAAAATAAGGAAGAGTTGTTCGCGTTTTGGTAAGTGGGGGTAGTTATGTAATTTCATTTACATGGTTACGGGAATGTATATAAGGTAATTTCTATTCTATTCTGTTCTATATATGTAAACTCAGAGAGAATCGGCAACTTGGTGAAGAGAAGATCAAGATAGCGATCACATCGCAATTTCGGGAAGTTCAAGATCGCGATCGGTTCGCAAATCGGAGAAGGTCGCCGGAGATCAGTTGGTAGGGCAATCTGAGTATACCGGGCAGTTTGTGCGATGGAGAATGGTATGTATTGATGTATTGACGTTTGTAGTTTTATTTTGATCATAATAATATGCGTTTGTTATGTCATGGATGTGTTATATCGGTTTTATATGGATTGATATTGTTCTTGGGGGTGAGATAAGTCGATGTTGCTGTACGACGTTGTGCGTTAATGCGTGAATACAGTGCGAAATTTGAATCATCGTGGTGCATATTAATGTAGTATAGCGTTTTTTTATCTGGTTTGATATTTTTCTGGTGGTGAGATAAGTCACTGTTGTTGTTACGATGTTGTGTGTTATTGTGTTAATATAGTGTGAAAGTTGCATGATTGTGGTGCATATTAAGTAGTATAGTATTTTATGTGTTTTGTAGTTACCAAATGTCATGCATTGGTTATTTTAGTGTGTTATTATATATACATGGTGTGCAGCTATTATTATGGACCCGGTGGGCTTCGTTTGTGATAAAGATACGTCAATTGATGCCGGTGTAGAAGGCAGTGGTGGTGTATGCAATACAGAGCATTCCACTGATGGTGGTCATATTGATGGTTGCGTAGAAGGAAGTGGGAGTCAGTGTGATGAAGGGAATTCAACTGATGTTGCTGTAGAGACTAGTGGTCAGGGTGCCAGTGAACACTGTTTGACTGATGTTGAGGCGGAAGACAATGCATGTGTTTTGGAAACGTCTCCTGGGTTGACTGAGTATTGGCGTCCAGTTTGCACTGATAGTTTGAAGCCTATGGTGGGGCAAACGTTTGATTCATTGGATTGTGCTATTGTTTTTTATAAACAGTATGCTGGGTATGTTGGTTTTGATTGTAGAAAGGGTACAATTCGGAGGAGGAGGGATGGTGTTGTTGTGGAGAGACAGGTATTTTGTAGCCGAGAGGGGTTTAAACAGAGTATTTATAGTACTCAATCTACGTGTGTTGGTGATGGTAAGCCTATTGTTGTGAAGAGACGGAGGGTGACAAATAGGGTTGGCTGCAAGGCTAGAGTGGTGTTTAAGCGTAAGTCTAATGGACTGTTTGTTGTGCATTTTTTGGAGGAACGACACACTCATGTGATGTGTTCAATTATTGCTAAGCAGTTTTTAAAGGTGAATCGTAGTCTTGATACTGGCCATCAAATGTTCATTGCAAGTTGTGTTCGGGCAAATATTGGGTATGTTCGATCATATAAGCTGTTTAAGGAGATTGTTGGTGAGTATTCCAATGTTGGGGCTACTGGGGTGGATTTTAAGAATTTCAAGCGTGATTTGATGGCATACATATTGAATGGTGATGCTCAACTATTCATAGATACGCTTTTTAAAAGGCGTGAATTGTGTGAGGCTTTCGAGTTTGAATATGACGTTGATGATGTTGATCAGCTTACAAGGGTTTTTTGGGCAGATGCAGTATCAAGGAAGAACTTTGCATTGTTTGGTGATGTTGTTTTATTCGATGCTACATACCGATCTAACAGGTTAGTAATTTATAGTTATTGTGTATTATGTATAATATATTGGTGCATATTTTGATTTCAAATAGTGTGTTTTGTTATATTTAGTATATTCAGTAGTTATTGGGTTGTGCATTATGTAGGTATAATTTGGTGTTTGTCCCATTTACTGGAATTGATAACCATAAGAGATCCATCACATTTGGTGCTGGTTTACTTACGAGGGAAGACGTAGACTCATATGTTTGGCTTTTGGAGAGATTTAAGAAAACCATGCGTCATGAACCTATTTGTGTCGTTACTGACCAAGATCCAGCTATCAAGATTGCAGTTGCTCGTGTGTTTGGTACATCAAAACATAGATTCTGCATGTGGCATATAATGTGCAAGGTTGGCGAGAAGGTTGGACCGGTTTTAGCTAAGGACGAGGTGTTTAGGAGGAAGTTGAATGGCATTGTTTGGAACAAATTTATAGATTCCAAAACTTTTGAGGATTTATGGAGTCGTATTATAGAGGAATATGGTTTGGGTGATAATGGTTGGTTTCGTTACTTGTTTGAGTCTCGTACATTTTGGGCATCTCCATACTTTCATGATGAGTTTATGTCGGGATTTGTTAGGACAACATCTCGATCAGAGTCTCAAAATAGTTTTTTTGGCAGTTTCTCCAATGGTCATTCCAGTTTGGTTGAGTTTTTGGTGCATTTTGATAGTGCTATTAGTGCACAACGACATGCCCAAGCAAAATTGACTGCTGACTCTGAATCATGCTTTCCTGTTTTGAAGACTCCATTGGCGCTGGAGAAACATGCAATGGATGTCTATACCATTTCTGTATTTTATGATGTGCAAGTAGAGATTTGTGAAGGTTGTTTTTCTTGTCGAGTGGTGTCTTTGTGTGAGTGCGAGGGTAAGGTGTGCTATGGGATAAAAGATGGTGACAAGAAGGCATGGTCTGTGGAGTTTTTGTTGGCTGACTGTAGTGCTATATGTTCATGCAAGATGTTTGAGCGGATGGGGTTGGTGTGTAGGCATATTTTTTTTGTGTTTAAAGATCATGGACTTGAGAGAATTCCTTCTATGTATTTGGTGTCTCGGTGGACAAAAGGTGCTAGTTTGAAGCCAATATTTGATATTGATGATACGGTTGTTGACCAATCGGCTAAAGTGGACAATGTTAGGGTGCTTACTAATCTAATGTGGTCTGAAATTTATGCTTGCGTGGGATTGGCTGATGGTAATGTAGAACGGTTGGAAAAACTAAGACGTGTTATTTGTGAGCAAAGGGAGTTTTTTTTATCAAAGATGGGTGTGAGGATAACAATGGGGTAGCTGGTAGCAGCAAAGAAAGTGTGATTAAATCATTTTGTGGTGATGTGTCTCAGGGGTCAACAGTGGAGGTGCGTGATCCAATTAAAGCTAAGAACAAGGGCGGCGGGAAGCGGATGAAGAGTGCAAGGGAGAAAGCTGTGAATAAGTGCGTAAAGCAATCAAGGAAATGCCATACTTGTGATGAATATGGCCATAATAGTAGGACGTGCCCATTAAATGGCTAGAGTTTTGTGTTGTTTTCTTAGTTGGTTTGTATTGTGGAATTTGATGTTTTTACAGTTGTGTAGACATTTTATAACACAAAGAATTCGGATTTTGTAGACATTGTGGAATTGTGCATTTTACAATACATAACGGTGCGTTTTGACACACAATTTGGTGTATTTTATAGTGTATTCTGAATTACATGTGTGATTGTGGTGTGTTTTATATGTGTGATTGGTGTATTTAAAGGTATGCAGATGATTCATAACACAGAATCAGATTTTTTGAAGTGTGGTTGGTATTGTGCATTTTATAATAGACAGTGGTGCGTTTTCAGTCATATAGTGGTGCATATTTATATATATTCAACCATGTATTATGGTTTTGAATGTAGTGTATATTACAGTCAGAATAGTGTATACTGAATCATGTAAATTGATTATAATAAATATCAATGGTGTGTGTTTACTTGTGTGGTTGGTGTATTTTACAGGTATGTAGACGTTTTATAACACAGAAATATTTGTGCATGTTAGAATATATCATGGTGCGTTTTACTATAGCATATGGTGCATTGTTATAGCGCAAAAAGAGCACATGTAGTTGTCAGATTAGATGTCTGGCATCACAAAAATTAACTGCTGGTCATCAAAAACCACAAAAAAACATGTCAAGTCAGAGATATTCACAGTGTCTTTCTTCCACATTAATGTCATGCTCAAAGCCGGAACTCTGCTGCCTGCTGAATGTTTCTATGTTTGTGTTCATTTAAGTCTGACATGATTAGGGCAGCCATGTATCGAACTCGTAGCTTGTTCAACTGGTCCTTGTTGTCCTTCTGAAGTCCACACTGCCACTGATCATATGTCTGCCCTCGGAAAGTCTCTAAATGTCGCATGAGAAAGATCCCACAATCTACCTTGTTGTGTGCATCTCTCCAAGGCATTTTCATTATCTTAGATTTCACCTTGTTCACTTTCTCAGCCTTGTATGAGGATTTCAGGTCAGACAAGAACCTTGACAAGAATTTTTGCTGCATCAAGTAATACAATCTGAGCATTTTTTGTTGTAGTTGTGCAGTAATTATATGTAATCAGACAGGGTTTAGTGCGTTACCATATTTGCAAGCACAGTCCCATACTTGTTTTCTTTCTTCACAGTGACAGAAGAGTTGTCAATAATGTCAAATCTTTCCATTAGTGGGCAAATGGAAAGCAGGTAGTAGTGGTTGCATGATACAATTGGAAACAAAAACTGTTATAGAAAAAAGATATGTTTTTTACGGGGGTTAGTACGAATCTTGGTAATGCACCACAAATAGATAAACAGTAGGATGCATCAAATGTATATTAACATCTTACGTATAGAATGCTGTTCCACCTAACGTCGCCAGCGATGAGTTTGTCTTCAAGGTACTTTGATTTGAATCTTGCAAATCTAACGTCCTCATCTCCCTGTGGGTCCACAACGGTGTACAACTGCAAATTGTAAGGGTATTTTTGTTAGAACTGTAAGCTGGTTAAAGTTGAAGCTAGGTTTATATGTTCAACTCACTGTTGTCCATAACGAAGCAATGAACTTCGTACATCCTCTTTCTGACTCACGGATGTTGATTATGGCTGCCCAAGCATCAATTATAGAGACTGGGATCTGTGAATCTGGCCTCATTGACAGCATATCTTTCCAATGGATTACCCTTCCTTCATACTTGAACAGTTCTTGGGTCCTATTGAAAACAAAAGAAATATGTTAGGTATAAAACACAATCAGTCACTAATCATTTAATATAAACACACCAATAGTTAACATAATATACACTAATATCACATAGAATAGCACATCAATGTGCATAGGATATTTATACACCAACATCATTATATAATGCACCAAATATTTATAAACAGCACACCATTGTTTCTAGAATGTGTTGTGCTTACAGATTTGGATTAGGACTTTCCAACACCCACTGCCTGATAGCTTCCTCTGTTGCAGATAATGGTGTGTCAATGTCAAGCACGTATGTGATCGGTCTTCGTGCAATTGGGCTGTGCACTCTAGCTGGGCCTTTTCCCTTGTCTGCTGGTTGGGGTGGGGGGGGGGGGGGTGGACTCGATGCAGGGGCTGGCTGCCCTTGGCATTCTGGTGTGACCTGTAATATTTAAAGGTGAGAGCATCAGGTTTTATAGTGTGTTAATGTTGGATTTATTATAGTTTATTACCTCAGTATTAGTGTCAGCTGCGTGAGTCTCATGCAAGGCCTGTTTATGGTGGTCAGAGAGGGGTTCTTGTTGAGCTGTCTCAGGGCATTCTTGGTGTCTGTTTGCTGCTTGATCATCATCCACACCCAACTGAACTTCAGCAGGCTCATCAACTTCGTTAAGATCCTGGTAGTCACGTGCAATTTCACTCACATCTGCCCAGCTTTTGTTTGGTTCATCCTGTGACAATCCCAAGCTGAAAGAGGGTATATCATTTAGGAAGTTCATTTTGTTCACCGCACGTACAATCTCATCAACTGCTTTCAGAAACTCAGGGTCACTCCAGTAGGCGTCTTCGCTTTGGGTAAATGTCATTTGTCCATCTTCCTGTGCTTTGAATCCTAGCATTTGCCTAGCAGACTCAAAAACTTGCTTGAATGTATGATGTTCCAAAACAGCAACAGGTGCATTTTCAATCAGTCTGGATATTCTCAGCAAACTTGTTGCAATTGTCCTTGTGTTGCTAGTAATCTCATCAACAAACTCCTGCATATGCACATCAAGGATATAATAAAACACACCAATGTATATCAAAATATGCACTAAATACTATTAAGAAGCACACCATTATAGTACATTATCTTATTCACACAAACTGATTAAGGTACCGCATTGTAAGATGCACAACAGTCAATAGGTTTAAAAACAGTAAAAGAGATATAAGGGAGTACACCATGAATGTGACTCAAGTGGTCTGTTTTACCTGTAACGCAGTGGGAAGTGGTGCATTACTTTCAATAGCCAGTGGTTGGGGTCGAACATCAGATTGTATCAATGGGGGGGGGGGGACTTCCTTCTTTGAACGGTGTGCTGTCCAATGGCAAGGCATCTTCAAGACGGCCATATCCAAAGCCACCAGATTTTATCTCTGCTTGTTCTCGTTGACGGAGCAGCTTAAATGTCCAGCTCTTCATGGCAGGGAAGCTTCTTGGGACTGTCCTCCGGTAGAGCACCACACGGTCAACATAGAATATCTGCATTTTGCATTTTAGAGTATTAATTGATCGGTGGGTAATAAATTAGATGCATCTTGCTGGTAGTATATTTACCATCAGGAAAATAATTGGTCCTCCGTATCTCCCATCAACACTGTCCAGCCATGACTGCTTGCTGGTGATGAGCGAATTGATGAGCATTCTACACCAATTTAGATTCTTGATGTTGTCAACATTTTGGAAGTTATCAATGTAGCTTTGGTTGACATAACCATTGACTTGGGGCTCAACCAATACACTCATTACAAGCAGTGCAAACTGCCTTTTGAACCAAGGATCAGTAGCATTTAGTCTCAACATATGCTCAGACATAATATGGGGGGTGATGTGGCCGTTAGTCTTTCCAAACATTGCTCTCCAGCCAGCCAATAGTGTAGACACTTCCTCGGATGCCCTTTTAACAATTTCAATGCCTCCCATCGGCAGCCCCATTGTGGCAGCAACATCATGTTCTGTGATGGGTAGTCGTTCACCAGTTGGCAGGTTTAATGTGTTGCTCCTAGCGTCATAGTTTTGAACAAGCCAGAGCCCCAACTTCCTTGGGACATTGGTAATATTCAGGTCAAGAAGTCTCCCTAGTCCAATATCTTCTACACTTCTGCGTTGGGGATCAGTTAGGTCTGCAATTGGGTTCATTAATTGGGTGGGAAGGGGTCGTATCTTCAGGCCGGCTTCTTTGTCTTCAACATCCAGTACATCTTCCTCATCATTTGAGCTGGACTCATCTTGATTTTGTTGCTCGGAATCTTCATTTTGCAGCTCAACCTCGATTCTATCAATGAAGTCAAGGGCTTGTTGCCTCCTTATTTGTTTTGCTGCTGGGGGATCTTCTAGTTCTAATGTTTTCCTCTTGGTGTCTGCATGATATAAGCTCAATGTTGAAAAATACACCAATATCAAACTAAAACACACAACAATGTTTTTCACTCTATTCAAGTGATGCAGTCCAGAATACACTATTACTTATTGAAATATACACTACAATCAACAACACAAACACAAGAAATAATACACCAATATAAAACTAAAACACACAACAACGTTTTTTATTATATTCAAGTGATGTAGTCCAGAATACACTATTACTTAGTGAAATATACACTATTACTTAGTGAAATATACACCAATATCAAAATAAAACACACAACAATTTTAGTTACCATACTCAACTTAGGTAGGTCAGAATACACCAGTAGGTATTGAAATGTACACTACAGTCAACACACAAACACAATCAAAAAATACACCAATATCAAAGAAAAACACACAACAATGTTGGTTACAATACTCAACTGAGGTATGTCAGAATACACCAGTAGGTATTGAAATGTACACTACAGTCAACACACAAGCACAACGAAAAAATACACCAATATCAAAGAAAAACACACAACAATGTTGGTTACAATACTCAACTGAGGTATGTCAGAATACACCAGTAGGTATTGAAATGTACACTACAGTCAACACACAAGCACAATGAAAAAATACACCATTACACCAGTATTTATTGAAATATATTACACGATGCCATTGACAATGCACAGAACAAAAACGATATGGACGAGTGGAAGCATGTAGGGCACTGAAAATACTCTAATTACCTATTTAGTATACACCGATCATCAATTAAAACACACAAAAAGGTCTATTTCGAGTATATATTACAGAATGCAGTGAGTTCATACCCATGCGCGCCGGTTCCTTGTCCTTTTTCACCATTATTCGCCGTCTTTCGTGGAGTAAGGAGAGTACGTCGTCGCCGAG